AGCATCGGGCAACTTTCTAAGATATGGATCATGTATCTTTCTGAGAATCAACTAAGGAGTATTCCAGACAGCATCGGGCAACTTTCTAAGTTAATGATCATGGATCTTTCTGAGAATCAATTGAGGAGTATTCCAGACAATATCAGGCAACTTTCTAAGTTAAAGGTCATATGTCTCTCTAACAATCAATTTGGAATAGGATTTTTTAAATGGCTTCAATTACCAAAGACAATAAACATGGTTGATCTCTCTAATGCTAGTATCTCAGGTCCTATTCCAAAAAACATAGGTCATATGATGCCAATGTTGGAGAGCTTATATCTTGCAAATAACCTCTTGAATGGTTCAATTCCAAAGTCACTATGCAATTTAAAATATTTCTGTGAACTTGATCTCTCAAGCAATATGCTATCTGGAAATATTCCAAAGTCGCTATGCAATTCAAAACCTTTGGAATATCTTGATCTCTCAAATAATATGTTATCTGGAAGTATTCCTAATTGTTGGAGAAATGATCAATCATTCTTTTTTATTGATCTATCTTCTAACAATCTCTCAGGTTCATTTCCTAGCAGAATGGTGCAGCTTTCTTCTTTAGTTTTACTGCACTTGAACAACAATAGTCTCCATAGGGGACTGCATGTGGCGTTGAAAAATTTAACTTCTTTAGTGGTTTTGGATTTGGGTGAAAATAAATTTTCTGGAAATTTAACAAGCATTGTAAGAGGGGAGATCAACACCAACTCTTTAAAGATTCTCCGTCTACGAAAAAATTTGATTTCCGGTTATATTCCTTTGGAACTATGCTCTTTCTCTCAAATGCAAATTTTGGATCTTGCGGATAACAATTTGACGGGAAGGATTCCTCCTTGTTTTGGAAAGTTTCCGATTATGGTGAATGCAACACAAATGATCAATGCCGCACATGGTTCGGATTGTTATCAGGCGCCTTTGATGGAGGTTGTGAAAGGGAGATACCTTGAGTATAAAAGAGAAACTCTGAGACTTGAGATTAGTATAGATCTTTCAAGTAACAATCTAACAGGACCCATTCCAGAAGAGCTAATATTCCTTAAGGATTTGCACAATTTGAATCTGTCTTGGAATCATCTCTCAGGACAGATCCCTGAGAAAATTGGACAAATGGGGAATTTGGAATCTCTTGATTTCTCCAAGAATGGCCTTTCAGGAATGATCCCGAACAGCATGTCAAGTTTAACCAAGTTAAGCCACCTCAACTTGTCCTACAACAACTTGTCAGGGCCAATTCCAACAGGCTATCAACTCCAAACACTCGAAGATCCAACCATATATGCTGGCAATCCTCAACTTTGTGGAAGTCCACTCTTGAACCAATGCTCAAATGATACACCACCTCCGACAGCTGCCAACTTCAAGGACAATGATGAAGGTACACTTAAAAGAATGTGGTTTTACATTGTCGTGTTCTTAGGCTTTGCAACTGGATTCTGGGGGGTCGTGGGAACTTTGATTTTTGTAAAAAATTGGAGATATGCTTATTTTCAATGGGTGGATGATGTCCAACACTGGATACTCATAGTTATAACATTGAAGGTGGCATGTTTCAAGAAGATGTTCAATGGCAACCAAGATGATCAGTGAGTTATATATAGAGTAAGTTGTTGCTATATTTATTATTAAGTTAGTTGGAGAACCCTGTGTTGCAAGGTATAGTGTTAGGTCCAACTTTGAATGGCCCAATATTGAATTGGCAAATTTTAAATGAACACATAAGTATTAGAGTTTGTAAAGACTTCAATAATATAACATATGCTATAGTTCTATTTGCATGTATTTTGAGTAAAACTAAAGAATTCGATTCGTACCTGCTTGGAGCATATATATTCCAGAAAATCAAAATTTTTTATTTTGCTTACACAAAGTAGCACATGTTTCAATTTTGTTTTCCATGTTAAATCGTCTTAAAATTGTTGTTCCTCGAACACTCTTCTCCATCTCCACATCATGTCATTGTTGTGCTTATTTAAAGGCGATTCACGCCTCTACGGAGAGTAGATCAACCGGTACAGCAACGATACATTTAGCATGTCGCTCCTAGGATGCTATAGCTTTATAATAATACTCTATAGATCTGCACTACCTATAGAATCACCAAACTCAAAACACCCTTCTTTACCCAAAAATATTTTGAAGATAAAGTAAAGTAAGAAAATTAGGAGAATGTGGAGGAACACCCTTTTTTGAGCAAATAAACATGTCCTATTTGGCCAAGTGCTTTTCTTTTTCTTGTTTAACAGGCCTGAAATTTAGTAGATTTCATTATATATGAATCGTACTACTAAATGCATTAATTGAACGGAAGTGTCATGTCCTTTAATTTGTTTGTTTCTTGGGGTGACTCTACTGGTTGGTTTTCTTCTTTTTGAAAAGTTGCCCTGAACTTTGTTAAAGTTCAATCGTATAATTCTTTCTCAAAAAAGTTCAATTGTATAATTAATACTGTAACTGGAAAATATATTTAATTCATAGATTCCAACAGAAAATAGAGAATTCTATGCAAGGCTTAAAGATTGCATGGATTTCTATCTTTCTAGTTTTGTTAAAAAGAGACAGTAAAAAAAAAAAAGGCAAGAGATGAAAGAATGAGAAAGGAAGAATGGCCTAAATGAGTATACAATAATAGCCAAAATAAAGTTCTCACATATTCATGGTCAAAGTTTAGAATTTTCAATCACTCACAATCAAATCGCTCAATAGAGTATCCAATATAATGCAGCTCTTACATAAAATTCCTAACTCCTCAATATTTCTTAAAACACATTTTCACATTGCGTAAGGCATATGAACTATAGACTCATAAAACGCTATCAAGGCTAAATAGTGAAATTTGTTATGTTTTTATAGGGTTTAGGGTTTGGGGTTT